GGACAATTTAATCGGGAGAATTTCAATTCTGGGCCATGCATGTCTTCATCACCTGGAGAGACACTCTGTGCTGCAGTTTCAGCTTCTGCTTGGGTGGAACCTCATGGGAAATGCACTATTGCATTTGGTCTATCATGGTCATCTCCAAAAGTAAAATTTTTGAAAGGAAGCTCGTACCATAGGTAAGTTTCTTGCAAATCTTCTTTTTCCCCTTGTTCCTTTTTGCATGTAATTAGAAAATTATTTTTCCCCTTGTTCCTTTGTGCATGTAATTTAAAAATTATGGGACTTTTGGGATGCTCTGTTTCATTACTTGTACTATAGCTAGTAGTATCCAGAGGAGCTAACTGTTTTACAAATGAATGCAAATGAGAGTTGTAATCTGGACAGCTAATAAAAAGAATGGTAATTTGGTTATTTGGTTGTTCATGTTTATAATTTTGTTTCAGGAGGTACACAAAATTCTATGGAACATCTGAAAGGGCAGCTCAGGACTTGGTGCATCATGCTCTAACAAGTATGTATCTTTTGTTTTTCAATTGAGACCTCTTTGAGCAACATTTAACTGAGACACTAATCTGTAGAAGTTTCCTAGGTTTTACTTTTTGGCATTTGTTTCAAATTTAACAAGGGTAGTTGGTGTTTTGTTTTTGGATGCTGATTAGTCTTGAAATTTGGACAGATTACAAGCGATGGGAAGAAGATATTGAAAAGTGGCAAAACCCTATCCTCAAGGATGAAAAATTACCAGAATGGTAATTCTTAGTTCAAGCAGTATTTATCTTTTGTTTTTCTTAGTTAAATCGTAATGTTCTATCAAACAATAAAAAAATTTCTTATGGTTTTGGGTGTACACCCAACTAACAGTCCACAACGGTCTCCACTGAAAGCTGTTTCGAGCTTGCTCAAGTTTGACAAAAAAAAACACAAAAACATGCCAGTGATTGGTCCCTTGTATTATACTGCAGTTAATTTTTAAGAGATTGTCTTGTCAGATACCCTTATGAAAACCTGTCAGAAGCATGTAAATACTCTCTGCAAGTGTTGTGATTAAAGCATCACAAATCCATAACCAGGTCCATTACAAATGGAAAGACCCACAACAATGGAATCATCAAGTGAACTTTGTTAAGTTACTTTGCAATGCTTACTTGTCACTGATTGATTACGGGAACTTTTAGATATCTAGGACATAACCGAGCTATTTCTCGTTGCTGGTTTATGTACTTAATGCTGTGTACAATGTTTGCAGGTACAAGTTCACATTGTTCAATGAGCTCTACTTTCTGGTGGCCGGAGGAACAGTTTGGATTGGTATTCATCTATACTGATTTTCTTGATATTTCACATTTTGACCTAGCTTTAAGAATGATGTTGTGTGGGCACTAGCACTGGCCCTAACATGTACTTTTAATTGCTTATTACCTTCCCTTATAATAGCTAATGATTTTTCTTGCAGATTCTCCCTTACCAGTAACAAACATTAATGAAAATCAACGTCAATTAACAAATGTTGAATATACAGACGTCAAGGTTACTGAAGCTGAAGCCAACAATAAACAAGGCACAGTTGTTGAGAATACTGCAACTGGTCATCATAGGAGTGTAAAGTTGGATCCACAAAATGACAACGAAGATGTTGGGAGGTTCCTTTATTTGGAAGGAGTGGAATATATCATGTGGAACACATATGACGTGCACTTCTATGCTTCATTTGCCCTTCTTGAGCTGTTTCCCAAAATCGAACTCAATATTCAAAGGGACTTTGCAAAAGCTGTCTTATCTGAAGATGGAAGAAAAGTAAAGTTTCTGGCAGAAGGCAATTGGGGAATTCGTAAGGTTAGAGGAGCTGTCCCTCATGATCTGGGAACACATGATCCGTGGAACGAAATGAATGCATACAATATTCATGATACTAGTAAGTGGAAGGATTTGAACCCGAAGTTTGTACTTCAGGTGTATAGAGACTTTTCTGCAACAGGGGATATGGCATTTGGAGTTGATGTCTGGCCTGCTGTTCGTGCTGCAATGGAGTACATGGAACAATTTGACAGGGACAATGATGGTCTCATTGAAAATGATGGTTTCCCTGATCAGACCTACGATGCTTGGACAGTTCATGGGGTTAGTGCTTACTGTGGCTGCTTGTGGCTTGCTGCACTTCAAGCTGCAGCTGCGATGGCCTTTCAACTAGGCGACAAAGCCTTTGCTGAATGGTGTAAAACTAAATATTTAAAGGCAAAACCAGCTTTTGAGGAAAAATTGTGGAATGGCTCTTATTTTAATTACGATAGCGGATCAAGTAGTAACAGTAAATCTATACAAGCAGATCAACTGGCTGGGCAGTGGTATACTGCATCCTCAGGTTTACCTTCCCTTTTTGATGATTTTAAAATCCAAAGTGCTCTGCAGAAGATCTATGATTTCAATGTCATGAAAGTTAAAGGAGGCAGGATGGGTGCTGTAAATGGAATGCATCCCAGTGGAAAGGTGGATGAGTCCTGCATGCAGTCGCGTGAAATATGGACCGGTGTCACCTATGGAGTGGCTGCTACAATGATCCTGGCTGGAAAGGAGAAAGAGGCATTCACTACTGCTGAAGGTATTTTTATTGCCGGCTGGTCTGAGGAGGGCTACGGGTAAGTACAACACACACGCCAATTATTTTCAGTACAGTATAGTTGATGTATTATCACTCTTAATTTTTTATCATAAAAAAACCTATTCATGTTGTGTTTTAGATGTGAAAATGATGGACTTTAAAAAAAAAAAAAAAAATCCTAGTATTTATTTATTTATTTCAAGTTGATTATTTCCCTGTAGTCAACATATTTGTCCAGTAAGGCAGATATCAATTCTTCTAAAAGCATAAGATACTAGGAAGGGGCCTGTCGTTAAATGCAATAGTTCACGAAGTTCTTTAATGAAGTTGTTTATGAATTTGATTCAAATGCATTCTGGATAGTTTTCTGTGGTTAAACTTAAAAGCTGGGTAATGTGTTCGAGCATTATATACCAGATTAAGATTATGGATGTTTGCAGTAATCACTTCTAGGAAGTTATGCATTAATTAAATGCAAGGTCGGATAAAGATGTATGGTTTATGGTATTCAATTGCCAGGCCTTGATGTTCAACTGCTGTTGTATTTGTGGTGTACAGAAGATGTGACCCTCAAATTTAAGAACCTCTTGTAACCTCTATAATTCCGGAAAGGAGCTTTTTTCTCCATATCAATATAAGGGTTGAGAGTTTTATCTCCTATTATATACACTATATTTCCCCGCTTACACTTGCTTCCCCTTAATGAGGATAGTAGTATGGACCTGCACTCACTTCTCTTTAAACCTTAACAATAGGGTCTAAAATATTTGGCTAGTCTTAAGTTTCTCACATCAGTACTTGTGCATTTCTCCAGATCACCATTTTAGCATCATGTAACTTCTGTGGCGGTGAAATAATATCTTGAATTCTTTATCATATTGTGAACACAAAAAACTTATTTCTTTTGGCATGACAAATATAACTCTCATCTTCCGCTACATATAGATACGGGTTCCAGACTCCCGAGGGATGGACGATGGACGGCCACTTCAGATCTCTAATATATATGAGGCCGCTCTCTATTTGGGCCATGCAATGGGCGTTAAATCTGCCCAAGGCAATTCTTGAGGCTCCTACTATTAATATAATGGATAGAATACATTTGTCATCTTTCAGTTCAAGATCCTCTCAAAATGAGTCAGGTGTGAGAAAGATAGCAACCAAGGCAAAGTGCTTTGGGAATTCTGTGTTCAACTGTGCATGCTGATTGTAACTTGTAACATGGACTGTATTGTATAGAAGTGTCTAGCAAATCTTTGCTTCATCGAACCCTGTCGCTGTGAATTAATATATGCTGGGAGAGGTTTGGGGAAGCCTTGGCGAAATAGCCAAATAGGTAATAAAAGATTGAGTTGTATTTCATTTACATGATATGTACATCAGTTTTCCTTTTGTCATTGAAATTTTTTGTTGTGACTAATCAAAAGCAAAAGTACGGCAAGTGATTTCCTTGTATTGGTATCTGAATTCTGAGATCTAAACTGGAATGCAATGCTGAAATATGATGTGGGTTTGTTTTTGGGGGTAGATAGCAAAACATGATCATGAAGCTCAACTTTTCTTGAAAAAATAATTTATATTTTCAATATCGTTTCATGTTCATGAGGCACCATTTGATTGAGTAACTCGAAAGTGGTACGCAAGCCTCTTATTATCCTTTTGCTTTGGACGATAACTGTCTTTGACTCTTTATTGAACTTGACAATAACAACCCATTAAGGATTTGGATGGGTGATATTAAAATGTGACAAGGTTACAATTCATCACTGCCCCCACCCATTATATATACCAAAAAGAGTTAATTCCAAGAAGGAAAACAATAGCAAACCTTCTTCTTGTCACTCTTGTGGCGGTCCCTATTTTGCTTTTCCTTTTCAATTATTCACCTCTTTTAGCAAATTGTCCATGAACATCACAAAGTTCACAACCGTAGTGCGGGTTGTCTTTGTCTCCCAGGGAGACTTGTACAAGTTCCAAGTGGTGAGAATTTGGTATGAGAATACCCCTCTTCGTTTTTACTTAAAACACATGTAAATGCAATTCATGAAACTTGTTAGGGATATGATGTATAAGAAAGCAACTATGTCCTGCTTCATTAGTGATGAATGTAGACCGATTCTGTGTTTTGTACATTCTATTTTACAACACTCTTTTCATCTAAGTTCTAGTGTTTTTGTAAATCGAGTTATTTTACACACAAAAAATGGAACCATCGAAATTAAAATATACAAATCCAAGCTTATTTATTTATTTGAGGAGATGCAAAATCAAAATCCAATTGGTCTTTCTTTTGTGTATGGTCCACGACACATCCATCCACACCACATGCACATGTGCCTTGTCAATTTTATTTATTTGAAAAAAAGTAAAAATATTCTCAAAAGAGATACGTGTCAAACTACAATTAATTAGTAATAATCAGACAGACAAATAAGTCCGCGATCCAAAATTCGACAACTAAATAATGCCCCACGCATTTGACTGGACGAAACCTCTGCTAAGAAGAAGCAGCAGCAGCCTATAACAAATTTCTCTTCCCTCTCTCTCTACTCTCTCTCACTCTCTCTACGTCGGTCTGTTTTGCCTCTGCAGCTACCTCCCATTTATTTTCACATTACACGCACTCGCATTTTTATTTTCCCATTGTTTTTGTTCTATATCCTAAAACCCTACAAGCCACAACAACAGTCGCTTCGCCATCTTCAACTTCAAGGTACGATCCACGTTTCCTTTTGATTTAATTACCCACAAGATCGTTCCTTCTGCAAAACATTAATGGTTTTGTACGAATCATACAATCCAAACCAAATTATATACAGTATTTCAAATTTTCAAATTCTCATTTTTGGTTACGAAAAAAAGTTCATGCATTTAACACCTTCTTTGATGGGATTTTCTTAATTTACTTTTTAATTTCTAGTACTCTCAATTGGTAATTGATGTCTGTTTTGATTTGAACAAAATCAAATAAGTTTTTCGGATTAAGAAAAAAAATATTGCTTTTTTATTTCGCTTCACCCACTTTCTCGGTCGGCAGCCAAATAGAATTGTAGCCTTTCTGCTTTGTGCACTTTTCCAAAAAGATACTTGATGTTAATGATGATGATATTGTGGTTTCTGAAGATTCAGTTGGATTTACTCTATAATCATGTCGAGGAAGATGCTTATTGATGGTGAGGTGAGCCAGCCTAATGAAGGAGAGGTCCACTATGACTTCGACTTGTTCGTTATTGGGGCTGGAAGCGGTGGTGTCCGTGCCTCCAGATTTTCCGCTAATTTTGGAGCTAAGGTACGAATATATACATTACCGGAAAACACTTCTATTAACTTTGTTCATCCATTCCCTTTTATGACAGAAGCATATTATGGGTTCATTTCATTTGATTTCATAGGTTGGGATATGTGAGCTTCCATTTCATCCTATCAGCTCAGAAGTAGTTGGAGGAGTTGGTGGAACGTAAGTTCATTGAAACTCTTAAATTCAATGCTGTGGTTAGTGGTCTGTCACGTTGTTGTGACAAATTAGGACTTCTGAAGATTGATGTTGCTTATATGGTTTTATGTTTTGCACATTTGGTTTTCCAGATGTGTCATTCGTGGTTGTGTTCCCAAAAAGATCTTGGTGTATGGAGCATCTTTTGGTGGTGAAATCGAGGTGAGAATATGACATATATTGTTTATAGTTGATGTTAATTGGTCTGATGAATGTACTTGCCCTTGCTCCAATTAATGCATCTAGCAGGAGCTCACAAACTTATTTTCAAGTGAATTAGCCAAAACTAACAAAAAGGAAGTCATCACACCATTTAGTTGACACTCAAACTAATTGATCTACTGGATAATCTAGCACAATGCGAGGTTTCTAGCAGCTGTACTGTGGAAGTTTTTCATATGCATTTCCAGTGGATAGCTTGTTCACTACGTTTATACAGATGTTTATATTGTATATTTGATAAAGTATTTTGTCTATTATTAAAAGAATAGATTATTATAAATAAACCAGGAAGTTTTTCATATGCATTTCCAGTGGATAGCTTGTTCACTACGTTTATACAGATGTTTATATTGTATATTTGATAAAGTATTTTGTCTCTTATTAAAAGAAATGGTCTGATGAATTTATTGGTTTTGCTATTGCAGGATGCCAAGAATTATGGGTGGGAAGTGAATGAGAAAGTTGATTTCAACTGGAAGAAACTTTTGCATAAGAAGGTTGGTTAGCAGAGTTTGAGTGTTAAATTTCACTCTCCTTAATATTATGTGTGTTGCCTTGCAAAATTATTACAAAGTTACCAATTGGGGACTTCTTGGTTCGTCTAATTGTTATCAAAATCACAAAAGATCCTTCGATAACTTTGTTGGTTTTGAAAATTTCAATTGCGGTTGAATTTGTTATAATTTTTTCAATTAAAGAAACAAAGATGATTTTTTTGATAGAAAATTCACTAACGTACAACAAGAAGACCACCAAAAATATTATTGTGGGGTTTTATTTTCCTATTATATTTAAGAACTACTACAATGAAACTCCATTTGGAAGGTAGATATCTTTGATTGGTTTGATTTCTTTATATAATGAATTGTTGTTTTGAAATCCAGAAATAAATTTTCCACATTTCATTTTAATTGCCTTTATTACTTATTAATTATTTAATAACTCAAAACTGATATTTACCTGTCTTCTTTCACAGACGGAGGAAATAATTCGATTAAATGGAATATACAAGCGTTTATTGTCGAATGCTGGGGTTAAATTGTTTGAAGGAGAGGGGAAGATAGTTGGTCCCAACGAAGTTGAGGTGACACAGCTAGATGGCACTAAATTGAGCTATTCAGCCAAGCACATATTGATTGCAACTGGCAGTCGGGCTCAACGACCTACTATTCCTGGGCAGGTAAAATTCTGCATTGGAATTTAAATTTGTATGGTTGTGTTATCGACATTTTATTTTTGGCCTGAGTGTGCTTTATGACATTATGCAGTTTTATTTGACAAAAGGTAGATTTGTTGGTCATCAAAGTTATAATTCTTCTTGATTTTTCTGTTAAAACAAAGAAGTCCCTTGTCATTAAAAATACAGCCAAAGAAGCCCTTTATCACCCCAGTTGGATTAATAGAGCTGATTTTTATAGCATTCAACTGTCCTTCATTTGCAACTACTGCCTAAGTTTGATACATAACATGGTCGCCGCATTCAAATATGATTCTATTTGTGCTATTATTGTTGTTTACACATATTCTGTTTTCTTTCTAATTCATTTTAATTTCTTTTCTAGGAATTGGGTATATCATCTGATGAAGCATTGAGTTTGGAGGAGTTACCTAAACGTGTTGTGGTGCTTGGCGGAGGGTTTGTCTTAATCTCTTTGTTTATGTTGTTTGTTTGATTTTATCTGCTTTGCATGCTCATAAGTTAGTCCCATTATCCTCTCTTGTTATTAGGTACATTGCTGTTGAGTTTGCTTCAATATGGCGTGGGATGGGTGTTTCAGTGGATCTATTCTTCAGAAAGGAACTTCCATTGAGGTTGTTATTTTTGATGTTATTGCGTTTTCCCTTTTGAACTGTTAGCCTTGTTGATGTTTATAGTGGAGTTGCTGCCATGTGGGCTTTCGTCTGTCTATTATGAAATATTTGTTGCAAGTTTGAGGCACTAAGGTATTTATTGGGAGTTGAGTTTAATTTTAACTTTTTTGTGCTTTTTGGAAAAAAAATTTATTGCACAGTAAGGCCTTTTTTTATTGGGAATGACTAAGAAGTTAGGAAAATTGATGCTCAAAACTGTACACGCCATGCCAATAAGGCCTTTTTTTTTATTGAAATGTGTTTCCGATGCCATGTTACAAATTATTGTGAAGGACACAGTAGCATTTGTGACTCACTTAGATTTGTCCATATCCTACTACAGAGGTTTTGATGATGAAATGAGGGCAGCGGTCGCACGGAATCTGGAAGGAAGGGGAATTGATCTACACCCACAGACAAATTTGACAGAGGTATTGTGACTTGTAGGAAGTGTAGACGTACCTTTGTTGCTACTCTCACTTTTATAGTGTATATGTTTTGACTTTTGTTTAATCTTTGTTTGCCCTAGTACTAATGATTATTCCTGCAAATTCAGTTGATAAAAACAGAGGATGGCATAAAAGTTATCACGGATCATGGTGAAGAACTGATAGCAGATGTTGTACTGTTTGCCACTGGTAACTACAGACCTATTTAGTTGTGTTTCTGATAATGGGGTTGGAAGTTAATGCTACTTGTTACAAATTGTAACTAAGTAAAGAAAAAAATTAATTAAAAACCACGCCTAGGCCAAAAAGAAATTACTTTCAGTTTTTTTCAATATTTGAATTGTGAAATCGGAACTGGGACCTTCTGCTGAACACTGCAATCCTTGGGAGGCAGGAAACTGTAGCAAATAGCTAGGTAGGTACCTTAGGAACTGAACTCCAGGCCTCGTGGGAGCAAACCACAGGCCTCACCACTCGGCTAAACCCTCGGTGATAGTCAGCCTGTCCCATTTGAACACTTTAATTATGTATTTACTCTTCTGTTGGTTGGATATATTCCGCTATGGTTTTAGCAATTCACATTGCATCTTACAAGCCTTGGATAAGACTCCCTTGTTGCCAATGTTTTGAACAGCATCTAGGGTTCCCTCCTTTGCTGGGTAAAGCAATGTCATTGGTCATGGCTTGATATTGAGCTGTCCTGTTTAGCTTTTTTTTTCTTTTATCTAAATAATTGTATAAGTCACCCAGTGTTACAATAGTGAAAACCTTTTCCTTTTCATGTTAGCTGTTAGACATCACCTGATTTCATGTGCTACTTTTCTTCAAAGTTCTCATAACCTACGTGACAGCAATAGCGCTACCTTTTTCCTTTAAAGTTTAGCAGTCAATCCTGGTTCTTGCATCTTATGCATGCTTCTTAATGTGTCTCTGGTTTTTGGATTCATTATGGGCTTCCACCATATTGCATAGTAAATGATTATAATAGTTTCGATAGTTGCACCTACTTTGTGGAATTATCATCTCTAATCATCCTTGTATCCAGACATTTTGGGATTCATGTAATTCATACATTTAATAGGCTGTTCACTAGTAGTATAAACTTGTGTTTGTTTTTCGTAACTTAGAGCACTAGGGGTGAACTTAGTAATGATATTTGTATTATGGTTTAGCTCAGTCTCTCATGGGGAAATGATTGCCTCGGTCTAATTTACAAATGACAGGTCGAGCTCCCAATACAAAGAGGTTGAATTTGGAAGCCATAGGTGTGGAACTTGATAAAACAGGGGCTGTGAAGGTTACTAGCTTTGACTTTTGCATCTTGTTATTTTCATTTGACGTTTTGTCATGTGTTTCAACTTTGAATTGAATTTGTATGTGTTTGATTTTAGTATTAGTTCTGCAGTGGTTTTTTCTAGACATTCGAAGTTATTGCAAACTTGATTCACTAATCTGGTGTCAGTATCTTGTATATCTCTTGTTTTCTGTATTCGCAAATCTGAGTCTTCAATATTTATTTTGAATTAATTTTCCCTTTTTCTGTATGAGAAGGCAAATAATCGTGCTTACGCAGTTTGGGTCCCCTAATTTTTGTAAAACCCTAATACCTCCTCTTTTGTTCTGCTGTCAATCAATGTGACAATCAAAGTTCAATGGTAATGTGAGGATTAGGACCAGTTCAGGGTGGTCTCCAATTAGTGGATGGAGCCAGTGGGATTTATGGTTTCGTCTTTTCAAGCAATATAGAGTTATACAGTTGATAATCTTAATGCAACTTCCCTTGTTTCTCCTTTTCTCTTTTCCTTTAGTAATTTATTTTTTGTTTTCTTTGTCTGATGCTTTGTCCTAATCCGATAATCAGTGATGCCATTCCCAGAGAGAGAGATTTTTACTGTGGCAAGCAATTATACCATATTGGTCTTGGCTCTTTTCTCTTTCAGGTAGATGAGTATTCACGTACCAACATACCTAGCATATGGGCTGTCGGTGATGTTACAAACCGAGCAAACCTTACTCCTGTGGCTTTAATGGAGGGAACTTGCTTCGCAGTATGTATTTTCTTTCTACCTTTTCCTTAAACTTTTTATTGATTGCTTAATTTTCCTTTTCTCTGGATTCTTAGCTTTATCAACAAATAGATGATTTGATGTTATTATTAATTTATCTTATGTTCCCAACAGAAAACTGTTTTTGGTGGCCAACCTAGCAAACCGGATCACCGCGATATACCCTGTGCAGTGTTTTGGTAATAGTTTCTCCCTTAAAAAAAGGGCCTTCCGTTGTTTGTATGTTTACCCCCCTTTAAAGGTGACTTTTTTGTGCGGTCGAGCTGGTCACAATAAATACACTTTATGATCTCATGAGATCTCTAGAATACATTAACTCATAAGTGATTCTTTCCAGAAAACTCCCCCGCATATAGAGATTGTATGAGGACTGGCATTTTAAGTTAGATATTTGTTCTTTCTTAAAGATTTAATACCACCTGTGGATCAACATAAGAAGCCCTCTTTCCCTGAAGGATTTAAAGATGCATTATGGTTTGAATTTTGTTTGTAATATGGCATGATCAACTCAAATGAAAATCTAATTACAGATACTTATGGATCTGAATGTGAATGCTTTAAACTTCAGAGCTCCCTTGCAGAATCTTTTAGGTGAAAAAGATTGGAATGAAGAACATTAGTTTTTCTGGGGACCAATTAACTTCATTTAAGAAGGGGAAATCTTCTTGTAAATATAGGAACATCATAGTAGTTGAATTATATTTTGAATTACTATTTTGTGATTTTATAAATGGATCTGAATGTGAATGCTTTAAACTTCAGAGCTCCCTTGCAGAATCTTTTAGGTGAAAAAGATTGGAAAGAAGAACATTAGTTTTTCTGGGGACCAATTAACTTCATTTAAGAAGGGGAAATCTTCTTGTAAATATAGGAACATCATGGTAGTTGAATTATATTTTGAATTACTATTTTGTGATTTTATAAAAGTGTTTTGTCCTTTTGAAGCGTTGGGTTTATTACTTATAGAATTAGTTAAGTGTTGAGATTTTTCTTGAGAAGTGCAAACACCAGACTGGGTGCTTGGTGTGATACCTTGAATCCCACATCGGGAATGCACTGGGAAGATCTTTGCCACATAAACAGCCCCTAGGAAACCGAGTCACCTTCAGCTAGCACTGTTGGACAAGGCCTTGGGTTGTTACAAATGGTATCACACCCCAACCCGGCTGGTTGCCTATGTGGGATTTGTGGGCCTTTGTTATGACGACGTCTCCCTGCCGAGGAGGGAAAGAGCGCCAACCCCCTTGTGCTACAGGATAACGTGGATCCGTGGGCAGCTAAATGGTTGCATTGCACATCGAAAGGCCTGCCTGTTTGATAAAGGTGATTCCCGTCTTGGCGAGGATGCCAAGTCCTAAAGTAGGGGAGGTTGCGATACCCCGAATCCCACATCAAAAATGCGCTGGGAAGATCTATGTTACATAAGCAAGGCCTAGGAATTCAAAAGTCACCTTCAGCTGGCACTTTTGGATTAGGCCTTGGGTCATTCACTTGCTGTGGTTTTTTATTTGAAATCTGCCACGTTGACCACAATTAAGAAGTGGTTTGTAGCCTTTGCCTTTGGTCATGTTAGACATTTTAAGTCTACCCATTTTATTTGGCTTTTTAGTAGCTGTGTGGTTACTTAAATTTGTGTCAGGGCAATCTTATGATACTCAAACATTTCTGATTTCTTGCATTTGGATAAATTTTTTTTCCTAATGAACTTCTGTTTGATGTTTGCAGCATTCCACCTCTTTCTGTTGTGGGCCTTAGTGAAGAACAGGCAATAGAACAAGCCAAAGGTGATATATTGGTTTTCACATCGACCTTCACTCCAATGAAGAACACTGTATCTGGGTACGTACGGCATTGTGAGGTCTTACTCTTTGGATTACTGCATATGTCCATACAGACGCTGACTGAAAATTACAATTGTTCCTTTATTGGTTTGGACTGCGATGCCCCATGATTAAGTTTGAATTTGGATTCTTTCATGCTTTCCATAAATAAGGTCATCAACATGAGAGCTCAATTATCAGTTGAACTATAGGCAAAAATTTTGACTTCAATTTATGAGCAAAATCATGAACGTACAATTATAAGCTTGAAGTTCTATTTATTCTCTTTGAGCAAATTTGTAGTCCGTTCCCTTGGTGTTTTAAGCACTGACTTCAATGTATTTGTTTTTTTTAATCTTTTTCATCTAGACGACAAGAAAAGACAATTATGAAGCTTCTTGTTGATGCTGAGACAGATAAAGTTATTGGGGCATCCATGTGTGGGCCAGATTCACCTGAGATTGTGCAGGTATATGTTCTGTTATTTGTACAACTCCGTAAATCTCAAATGCTATGTTGTGTTTGCAATTGCTGTAATTTGATACGTAAAAGAACTTTTCGACTCAACAAAACTGCGCTTGCATAACTGAAGTCAACTAATTCCTTCTTTTCTGTACATATTTGCCCTCAAGTACAACATGACTTCTCTCTAGTTTTAATTTGTCTGTATCCCTAGATATGTATAGTTATTGCAGTGTCTGCATGTTGAGAGTCCCTCAAGAATCAAGTATTTCTTGCTCTATTTTTTCAGTAATTCCTGAGAGGAACCTTGCAATATTGTTGCCCATGATCCTATGTTTTACTACCTAAGTGATGGTATATTATGAGTATTAAAGAAGAGAAATAGAAAGCTTAATCTTGCGTGTGATACTTAAGTAAAATCTTTTGGATAATAGTCATCTTTAGTTTGTGATCTGACAAAGTATTAGGCACAGGAAGGGGTTTAGGACCAAACAATATTCTTACTGAGGTTTTGAAGTGTTTAGAAGATGAGGGCATGTATGCTTGATGATAGGAGATAAAGTATTGTACTACCTGAATAAAGGGGATATTCAAAGTTGTACAAACTAAATTGATAACTCACATTATGGAAACTTTGGAAGAGTGTTCACGATCGATTTTGAAAGGTGTAATATCATGTGTAGTGGATCTTCTCAGATAATGTCACAGAAAAAGAGGGTTTGGGGGCAGGGTGGGGGAAGTTGCTTAATGGATACATAAAATCGGCCAATTTTTCAGTTCTGATCAATGGAAGGCCTAGGCGGAAGTTCAGGGCCTCTAGGGCATTGGGTCAAGGTGTGACCCGCTGTCACTTTTTCTTTCTCACTAGTTGTCGATATTTTGAGCAGATTAGGTTGAAGAAGCTAAAGAAAATGTGCTCATAGAAGCCTGTAGAATCATGAGTTATCATTTTCTAATAAACAAAGGTTAATTAGATTTTGTGTAATTTGAGCTTATACTGCTTCTAAATGCTGTTTATAGTACTCTTCATCTTCTTTTCGTTTTACCATCTTATTGTTGTTCAGAGAATTACATTATTTTGGGTGTCTTACACAGGGCATTGCTATTGCACTGAAGTGTGGGGCAACCAAGGCACAGTTTGACAGTACGGTAAGTTGGATATTAGTTCTGGGCGAAGATTCATTTCTGAGTTTTACTTTCGAATCACCTACTTTGTGTATTTTGTTAGGACCATTGATCATACTTGGACTTTTCGTTATGGCTTGTTAGGACCATTGATCATTCTTGAACTTTTCGTTATGGCTATTAAGTAGTTCAAGTGCTTGCCACTTTAATGTCTTGTTTTTAGCTTAAGGAAAACAGTCTGTTGAATTAATGCACAAAAAGAATGCTTATTCACTAACTACTTGCACAGAAGCAGAGGATAAACACATTTTCTCTTTAAGGACAGAAAGAAACATGGGTTGGGAGGGAGAGGATGAGTTGGGTGCAATAGGGGGGAAGGGGAGAGGTGGTAACCATCCTTTAACTTTTGTTATGGATGATGGAAGGGAAAGTAAATGGTGATTTTATTCTGAGAGTATATTCCCCTGTAAATTGTTTTGTTTTCTAAATGCTTTTTTACCTTGTGGCTTCACTTATACTGAAAGTTATTTTTTGTTCCTGTGCAGGTGGGAATACACCCTTCTGCAGCAGAGGAATTTGTGACAATGCGTTCGGTGACGAGGCGTATTGCTGCAGGTAGCAAACCAAAGACAAATCTATAAGGATGCAAGCAATAGGACGAAAAGATTTGTATACAAGGTCTGGAGGAGTTAGTCCTGTCCTCCCAAGGCTTACGTAGTAATTTCACATTCACCAGAGGAGGAAACATAGATATATTTTGGGAAATTTAAATTGGTTGAATTCTGTAACAATAAGAGCTTGTAGGGCAGTATAAGTTCTAAATGATTGATGGAGATACAATATTGATCTCTACGGTGCCGTGCTTTATATACTGTGCAGATACCTGTCAATTTAGACACTGTTTAATTGATTGCACGAGTAATTTACTTCCTTCCTTTTTTATAAAATACAATTAAGTTTTCTGCTTATGTTCAAAGTGAAGTTGCTTTAGCTGTGGGGCTAAAGGTTAAGTATCTAACTAACGTCAGAGTCTCTCTTCCAAACTAAGGGAAAAAGAAACGAGACTTTCTTGCAATGTGTTGGTATAATTGCAAGTATTTTCGCCAAATTTAAGCATGGACCTAATGATAACACCTCCAAATTTTTCCACTTGCCAATCATATCTAGGTTCATGTGTTTGCAATGTGTTTGTATAAGTCCTGCCATCTTCCGTCGTCTATCTGCAAGAGTATGACAAGGAATTAAAGAAAAGATCGAGCATTGAGACAAAAAGAGTACTAAATAATAAACAGAAACTTGGGAAAACAATCACCTTAAGTTGAAGAATGCAAGGCTGAATGCATATGGTAATCATTTATAATAAAAACCAACAAGAGAATTAATTGATGGAGTGTTGGAAAATTGTTCATTCAACAAGGACTTTCCGCATTCCAATGCAGTGCATGCTTTGGATGTTCAAAAGGACTTCTCGCATTCCAATGCAGTGCATGCTTTGTAGATTCAAAAGGACTTTGCACATTTCAATGCAGTGCATTGGTTTCGGAGGCTAATTAGGGCTAAGCACAATTTGATTAACCGGACCGAGTGGTTGGAACTGCCTACCAAACTGAAACCGATAGTCGATTCATGACCAAGCAAATGCTTCGTTGCAAGTCGGTTTTAGCGAAGAAAGAGAGCGAGAAGAGTGAGAAAGAGAGGTTGGAGTACTAATCATGCATTATTGCAATACTTAACATGTGAAGGAGTAGACGTCCTGAATGATGGGGATAGCATAAAACGGCACGGATGCTAGTGAGGGGAATTTATTCCTCCCATCAAGGATATGCCGATTAAACTCATTTGTTGAAGACCCGATTAAAAGGTAACCATTAAAAACTAGAACCCCGATTAACTAACAATTATTCATGGATTTTGCACATGTAAAGCTCTTAATTACCAATTATCGAACACTATAAATATGGCCACATATGCATGTACTGTATGTTGTGTATTAACCACATGCTATTGTTGACGACTTTCAATCAATCGCAGCGTTCGAAAAATCGGCCTAGGCAAGCTCCGTCCTCTGCAAGTGCAAGCTTCATGTTCTTTTCAAATGTATTTAAAGAGTATAGCCGCGGCTATACTTTTAAAATATTCAAATCTATTAAGAACGTATAAAGTATAGCCGTTCGGCTATACTCTTTAAATATACATTTTTTGTCATTTTAGGGTTTAGGGCTAAAATACCACTTTAGCTCATTGGGCTAGACTTATTTTATTTATACAAGCGATATTGGGGAATGAAAATTTATATTCTTTCCGATACCTCCCATTCTAATGATTTCCAGCTATTAGCACATTGGGCAAGAATAAAAGATGAATTTTATTTATAACAAATAATACGGGTTAAACCCATAAATACAACAACAAAAAATAGGGATCCGCCAACATTTTGTGGATCAAAGAATGTTGAATTTCATAGTAGAAAATTGCTTGTATAAGAATTTACTTTCTAAAATGTATCCATCCTAATTATGAACTAAACCCAATTACAGCCCTTTTCTCATTGCACTTGACAACCCTGCTCTTCTGCTCTAGGATATCTTAGTCCATGTTGTATTCTCCGCAGATGAGATATTGGATACAAAACAGTCTAACAAAACAACAAAGAGAAGTTTGAAGCTCTGTTTTGAAATAAATTGAAGGTATCAGATGTCAAATGGCATTGATATTCAAACTATTCTAAATGAGATTTCAAACAACATGTGTTAGATGAGAAGTAGCATCTCATTCTTACATATACCATACCCACTTGCGCCTGAAATTCCCAATGTGAAGAGGGGAGAAAAGTGCAATACCTCTCTTGTATCTCGAAAGCGTAGGACATCCAACGTTTCATGAGGACGCCAGTTTGATAAAGAAGCAAGATATAAAGTTACCCAAAAGCTGAAGCGCTCAGGATTTTGTATTTTGAAAGATTGTGTTTTTTGGGGTTCCATCAAATTTAGATGCTGCAAAGTTTACTTATATGCTGTGAAAGGTCAGCCCCAGGTATTACCAATTCAGCAACAGATACATTATAATCAGGAATAAAAACCTGGAATAACAGAGAAATTACATCAAATAGAAGATGATTGTATCCGTATGTAGAGTGAAAAACCAGAGATTTTAACTCATGCTAGCTCCTCTCAATATTTGTACAAAACCGGATAGGAAGAACACATGGAAGGATACAAAATTCTTTCTCTTACCAACTTCAGAAGATCTCCGACATCAGTGTCACTATTTATTTTTTCTGCGACAGCATGACAAAGTTTGATAATCTTCTTGGCAATCTCATAACCGGGAGCAGCTTTTCCCCCAATAATGCAGACATGAGGTACAACCTTACGCCATTGACTTTTCTCCACGTTCTGCAGCAAAGTGCTCATCTTATAAGAGGGGGCAAAAAGGAAGAAAGTTCTTACCAAAAAAGAAAAAACAAGAGAAGAAAGCTCCAACTCCACATCATATCTCATTGAAAAATCAACAAATTACTGTCCAACAACTTCTTAAATTACCGTGACAAGAAGATGAAATAGGTATGCACAATGCTGGAGGATGGTGATAGCCCCCTTTAGAAGGTATAGGGTAGTTCTTTGTTAATAAGTTAAAAAAATATGGAATGCAAAGTTCTTCACCATATAAAATCAGATTTACCTCGATACAGTCATATCGATGGATAATGCCAAGTATATTAAGCAGCTGCCTTTTGTACTCGTGTATTCGCTTTGTGTGCACATCAAACATTGCATCTAAACTAACCTGCAGTTGAAAGTGATAAATTTCAGTGTAATCTATTAGACATACCTTCAAGACAAAAGAGAAAAGATGAACAGGATAGAAGTTCTAAGAACTTGTGACCAAACCTTCACACCACTCATTGCTTCAATGCACTCAGCGAGCCTCATTTTGTTAACCTTCTTTACCTACAACACGAGCATATATACAACAGACTTAAATAATAATAATACAAAAGAAGCCAAAAGCTTATATATTTTTGGTTCCTAAGCAGATATCAAGCCTAGAGAGTACCATCATCCATTCTTGTTGAAGGTCAGGATCTGCTGCATATGCTCGCGAGCCAGTTGCAAGCAATGTCCCACACTTTATTCCAACCCAAATGCTCTTCATCAACAAGCACTCTCATGACCTCAGCTATTTTTTAGAGATGGGTGAGTATCACTGAACTAAAGAGCACCCTAATTAAGACAAGGAAAAATGAGCCGAGGAAAAAAGGAAAAACAGAAAAGCAAACCTGAATGACTATCAGAGGAAAGTAATGAATATAAGTTCATTGTAGCTAAACAAGCTGCCAGATTGGGTATTCCCTAGAAATCAACATATGATAAAACACATATTATTACACCTTCTCTGAAAATTCATCAAAGTTGCTGTGAGCCTCTTTATATCTCCGAATTATGTCTTGTATGGATTCTGAGACAAAGACATATATTGTTGCATAATATAAATCCAACATATGATTTTGTGTTGGATAATGATGATGAAGTATATTATGGTTATAAGCTTCTCAACAGCTCAACTCTTTTCAGGCTGGCTTTGACTCAAGATGGATTTGGGCTGAGCTACATCGGGAGTGATGGAAACCAAGGTTGGGTTGTTTATCTAATAGCACCGACTGATATCTGTGACAAATATGGAATATGCGGTCCAAATGGTGCATGTAGTATTGACAAGTTCCCAGCATGTAGCTGCTTGAAAGGATTTATACCGAAGTTTCAACAAGACTGGGACTTGGTGGATTGGTCATATAGCTGTGTGAGAAAGACCCAACTGAATTGCAGTGGAGACATCTTTAAGAAGTACTCTGGGCACATTTTGACCATCGCAATAGAAAATTATACGCTTCATGTACCCAGGGAAAAAGAAAAAAAGATATGTGTTAATCAAACAAACTAATTCTGATGAAGTTGAACTACTTGGGCAAATCAATTGAACAAAAAAAACGATTTTACTTCTTAATGGGGAATATGTAATTGCAGCTTCTTTGGAGCAAAGGACAATAGCAGACATGATAAACCGATTAATTAAAAACTGTCGCTATTTCCAAGTAAATTGAAAAACAAATCCATCACTCTAACTCGTTGATACCCATAGCTTATCACTATCATCAGTATATATTTCAACATACATTCAAATATACATAACCTGTATTTTCTGCTCACTAGTGCCTGACAATCTCAAGGATATGCGACATCTATAACTTGCATTGGGCAGATATACAATTTCTCATTAAGTTATAACTTATAATTAAAGGAGTTTTATCAAACTCACTTAACACAACAAATTGACAGACATTGTTGAAATGATTAAACATTTCAATGAGGAAAAAGAAAAAGAAAAGACAACTCAAGGAGTACCTTTTCTGAATATTGTCAGATGATGAAACACAAACTTGCCGAGCAAACATATTGATAATTTCATCCACCTCCTGTCTTGATACTTCATTTATGTCTCGAATCTACAGATTATATACAAAAAGGTAATAGTAATTTAATGTTAAAATATTTTTGTGAAGTGATCCAACAGGAAATGTTGTTTGAATCCAATTTTACCTTATTTAGTAGTAAGGATTTTTCCTCGGTGGCTCTTTCAAGAGCAGTTGTGACAGAAATGAGAAAATAACCAAGCAAACTCTGGGAGGAGTTGTCGTCGGTGTGGTGAGGTGAACATGTCGTTTGGGAGAGAGCCAAGAGAGAAGAGAATAAGGCGGGAAACAGGGGGAGGAATGGAATTAGATGAATTAAGAGTCTCATGATCTCTTCTTCTATGGACCTGACTTGTGCTTCACTGCTTCGGCTTCCCAGTCTCAAGCTCCAATTTGCAGCTAAATTTTTTCAATTTCGGGTTTCAAACTTTCAGTCAACCGGCTAGGCGGGCGCTAGGCTGCTAGGCGGTCGCTAGGCGGTTTCTAGGCGGGCGCTAGGCGGCTAGGC